TTAACGTTGTATTTTACACCGCACTTAATACCGTATTTAACGCTTGCTTTCGTATAATTGGACATGACTAATGAATTGCGGATAATTAAGCAATTATTCGATTCTCGCGAATCATTGCAGCCGGCTGCGTCATTAAGCAGCGCCCGCTAATTGTAAGTTTCCTTTCCTCTTCTTTCCATTTATTTCTCAACGAATTTGCTCGTTCGTTTTCGCATTTTATTTGGAATTGGTTGGTTGATCGTCGCAGCGTGAACGAAGGAATCGATCCCTGGGATCTTCCAGCGCGGCGGGACTATAAATTCTTGGCTGGGTCGACTTGCATCCTACCAGCCGTGAAATAAGGAGTCGATAAGATTCGTTAATGGACCGATTTAATTCATATCTTATCGGTGATCGTGAAGATAAAGGACATAAGAAGATGTCGCAGGATCGTTTGAGTAATAACAATGTGAATTGGACATGCTGCTCCCTCTTCTGGAGAATAATTCCTTTTATAATTATCGAGTGTTCTTAATTCTTTTATCGACATCAACTTAACTCGAGGCATTTTTTGTTTCCATTGAAAGGTCAATATTATAAAGTTTAAGTTGCATGTCGTATTATTTGCATTATTTGCAAATTATTTTCATTATTGTATAAATTATCAAGCTAAATGATATACTCCGTTAAATTCATTTACAATTACATTTAAATAATTTTCAATTTTGAGGAAAATGAACGAGTAATAATAGCGACGTAAGGTCAAATTATTTATAATAAGTTAATAACGTTTTTTAAGTACTGAAGGCTCTATATGTTCAATTTCATGGCCAACTATTGTTACTTCATTTATTAGTGAGAAGTGACAGTATTTAATTTTGGAACTTAATTGACAACAAAAGCAAAACGTAATTTCACGAAAAACATTGCAAGAGTGACTTATATATATCACTAAGATGACCTCCAAAATATAGAATCAAAATATAGAATTTAATACAAGATCTCATGATATAAAATTAAAATTTCTTCAGTTGTAATTACAATTTTCACGCAGAAGAATTTTAAAAGAAAAATCGACGTTCGATTTGATCGATAATCACTTTCAATAGCGACACACGAATATAACGTTTCCAACTTCGCTCGCGAACGTGATCCTTCAACAAAACGAACAACCTCGTATGATTTAACGTCACAGTTCCAGCTTTCGATATCCGACGTAATATATCCGGTTGTGTTACTTCTTACAGCGAGATTTGTCACCGACAACGGTTCGATATGAAAGAATTATCGCCCTCTTTCACAGGCATACATTATTCATAAACGTTATTTCCACGTTGTGAATATTCACGCATTCGTGGAAAATTAATTTTAAACCGGATAATTTTCGAAGATTTTATCAACTTCCCAACAATATTTAAGGTTTATCTCACTTTCTGGAAGTGTTCTAAAACAATAAATAATCTATAAATTGACATGTGTGTCTGTCTTTATAATTATGTATATCATTTATAATACAAGAAATACTGTAATAATAATAAATACTGATAATTTATAATCCTTATGGTATAGGAAATACTACAATAATAAAAAAATAATAGTAAGTACATAACATAGTATAGTAAAACTATACTACCCGTATGATATACATTACCAGCATTATAATTATATACTTTATACGAAAGCTATATAAACAGAGATTTAGATACTATAATAAATACTGTGCTATAGATATTTTACACTGTATGAAAATAATAATAGGTATGTAGTATAGTATCGTAAGACTATACTATCCGTATGATACACACTACCAGCATTATAATTATTCATACAGGTTTTAGAATTGAACACAAGAACAATCAAAGAAACGAAAGCTAAACAAAGATTCACGTGTATACTATAATAAATATTGTACTACAGATATTTTTCACCGTACGTACTTCCGTGACACTCAATTTCCCATAAAACGAATAAAAAATTCACGGTCTAATTATTTTCTACTTTTCTTCGCCATTCAATTTCGAGTCTACTTTTCTTCGCCATTCTATTTCGAGTCTACTTTTCTTCGCCATTCTATTTCAGTTCTACACGAACGATTCTCGATCGACAAAATTGAATTGATTCACGTATATACTACAATAAATATTGTACTACAGATATTTTGCACCGTACGCATTTCCGTGACACTCAATTTCCCACAAACGGATAAAAAATTCACGGTCTAATTATTTTCTACTATTCTTCGCCATTCGATTTCGAGTCTACTTTTCTTCGCCATTCTATTTCGGTCCTCCACGAACGATTCTCGATCGGCGAAATTGAAAATGCTGTGAAAACATTCAACAAAACCCAGGAGAACGGCGCGTCGAGTGCAAACTCACTCGAAACTCGTCTGATGAACGCAACAACGTTAATCCTGACGTAACGCTGTGAAACCAGAAATCCTGCGGAACGAGTGTGTAAATGTTAACCCGAGAGTGAAATTTCCGCGATGCGGCGCAACTCGGTTCGGTTCGGTTCGGTTCGGTTCGGGGGGCCGGCGGGGAAACCTTGTAATCTCGACGCAACCCCGCGATAATAAATACAATCGCGAGGGTGAGTGGAAGGGCGGTAGTTGGCCGGTTGGAGATACGTTATTGGAAGAGCGCCAATGTCGATGATTTACCATGAAATCCGCTAGTTATTGCGTGGGAAACGCGGTTTCATTATTTATACGTTATATCGCGCCGATACTTTTCCGGCACGGGGGTTGCCCGTGCACCGGGAAATAAAGCGCTGTATGCGGCTCGATCGAACAAGCGATTTTCGCGTGCGTAACAACACGCGTACACGTGCACGTGCAACGCGTGTGCAGGTATACATTTATCTAGAGAGGAAGGCAAAGGAAGGAGAAATCGATGTCGGACAAGCACCTCGAATTATTGCCGGATGTTTGGCAACCGCATCGATTTACAGGCCTGGTTTCTCTTTTCCTGTCTATCGACGGATAACGTGGCGCGCGAGTTGTGCTCTCCTTGGACCTCGATCTCAGGTGTCTATCTATTATACTTTCAGGTGTGCTTTTGATAGCATGACGTTGAAGAACTGTATTCTTCGAAACCACCGGTGATAGACCAGGTATTTCTCGAGGTGGATTTTATGGAAAGACTAAGTTTCGAGTGACTAACGTTATTTCCTTTATTCTCGAGTCTCGAACGGTATCGCGTAGAAGTATTAAGAATATAATAATAATAATAATAATAAGTACTAACAAATCTACAATGAATCCTTGGAATGTCCTTTTATAGCTCTCCTTTCCTCTTCCATTAATGTTAAAAAACAGAATTAAATAGAACTATAGTAATAATATTTTTAAATATAAATTGACAGAATTAAATAGAAGTGTAGTAATAAGAATTTTAAATGCAAATTGACAGAATTAAATAGAACCGTAGTAATAATATTTTTAAATGTAAATTGACAGAATTAAATAGAACTGTAGCAATAATATTTTTAAATGTAAATTGACAGAATTAAATAGAACCGTAGTAATAATATTTTTAAATGTAAATTGACAGAATTAAATAGAACTATAGTAATAATATTTTTAAGTGTAAATTGACAGAATTAAATAGAACCGTAGTAATAATATTTTTAAATGTAAATTGACAGAATTAAATAGAACCGTAGTAATAATATTTTTAAATGTAAATTGACAGAATTAAATAGAACTGTAGTAATAATATTTTTAAATGTAAATTGATAGAATTAAATAGAACTATAGTAATAATATTTTTAAATATAGTAATATATTATAAATATAGTAATATAAATTGACCCAATACTACAATATAGTAATAATATTTTAAATATAGTAATATAAATTGACCCAAAAGGATTATTGATGAAATGTTGCATCAATGCATCATCGGTCTTTAAAGGGTCTTGAATTGTTAAATGTATTAAATTTTTTATTATTCAGAAAGAGAGTGTTTAAAAGCAGAGGATACTCCTTTCAAAAATGAATGCTGCAGTTCGTAATAACAGGGGAGGAATTTCGAAATGGACGTAGTTGGATGCACGAGCTCACTCGAAAGTCAATAGAAAATTACTAAAAGCACGTATTCCTTTTGAACGCGACTAGTTCAATTTACATTCCGCATACATATGTACATTTTTTTTTCCATACAGACGATTCAACCTGGACATGTTTTAATTAAATTGGAACGTGTCGTTCAAATGGTGCGCACGGAGAGAATAAAACATCCAAATTGGTACTCCAACGAAATTCGTTTTTCTTTTTTTATTTCCACTTGATTTCCATAAAAGAAATCATGTTTTTGAATGTGGCGTATCGTAATATACCGAGTTTCGAATTTTTAGCATGCTGATGAAAAATATTCACAAAGTACAGGATCTTCGATTTTTGTACGAAGGTTTTCTATTCTTGTCTCTTCATTTTCTAATTTTATATACGCTGTTATCCCCTAAGGTAATTTATTCTATTAATTTCAAATTAAAGATCAAAATTATTTTCTTAAATTAAAGTTTATCAGAATTAAAATTTATTAAATTTAATAATTCTCCCAATCAAATACCAATTTAAATTTTATATTAAATACAGAAATAAATTAATATAAAATTCTATAGGGTTTCATCGTTCCATAAAAAATTCTAGCATTTTTTATTAAAATTTTAAGTTCACAATTTATATATGAGACGAAGTATATATTTCATTAATCCTTTCATTACATAATCAAGTACCTTGTCAACCAATCGAACTGTTTTTTGAATAAATTTCGTGGTTCCCTTAAAAAATATTTACTTCAAAAATATCCATTTCAATTCCAGCAAACGTTAATCTGAAAATTGTTAGCCGCTACATTTTATATCCATTTATTGCAAAATTTAAAAACAACGTCCCGTTTCCCTTTTCAAGCGTGTTACATTAACGTACACTTTTTTTAAAATCATTAAACAGCATCGAAATCAGAAAAACTGTGTCACGTTTTGTCCCCGTGACGAAATACGAAGCATTCTCTTACCTGGCCAACTCTCTCTGGAGATGATGAACCCTAGAACGTGCTCTTTCAGCTTCAGCCGTAGCCTCGCGAACCCGAGCTTCGGCCTCCATTCGTTGCCGACGTTCGCGTTCAACATCTCGTTGCGTGGCCTCTCTCTGTAACAGGAGGATCAACGTTATCCCAACTCGAGTCTCACGCTTTCGTTCTCTTTAATTTATCAACGCAAGAAAAATCTGACAACATCCAACGAAGGCGAACATTTCTCCTTTCACCTCTGCGAGCGAGGCTACTCGACTTTTATCCAACTAATTCTCTCTCCTCTTTTTTATTCTCCTCTTTTGCGAATGTGTCTGTCTATTTTGGACGTGCAAAATATTTATTTCACATATTTGTCTGTTTCTTAAAGTAGCTGCAAAAATTATAAAAGAGTATAAAACAATAGTGGTCAATCTTGGGAATTTCGACACAATTATCGACTAGAGTTTGTTGAACACATAAGGATACGGAATGTCCTTATTTATACTAAGTCTGGAATTAGCTAAGTAAGTTCTCGAGTTTTCATCCAGAAACGTTCCACTGCCCCCCATCATAGCAATCATCAAGAGCTCTCATTCAATCTACGTCACTTCAAGACCATTGATATTCTCTTGCGGATGCACTGAAACGTGCCAAATTTTCGTCTCTGTCCCTTTCTCTCTTTGTCCGCTGATGTTCATCAGGCGAACGCGTATCGCCCCCTCTCGCCATAATTTTCAATGCAACGCGCACACGCTCACCCCCCCTCCGCCCCGAATTTTATACACCGTGGAAGCTTTTCGACTCGAGCGAGCATAAATGAACAGATTTACGACGAAATGAATCGTAAAAAGAGAGAGATAAAGAAGTTTAACGAGAGCGCAAAGGCAACTCGATCGACGATAAGTCTGCCGAGCAACCTACGACCTATTTACGATCTGTCGAAATACGTTCGTTTATATCGACTCGAAGGGACTCCAGCTTCCGGCCGTGTCACATCCGTCCGGGATTTGTCGCCGATTTCGATTTTATTCCCAACGGAAGGTTTCGGTAGTTGGAGAGAGCGAGCCTCCAGGTTTGGTATAGACAGGTAATGCAAATCGAACGGGCCGCGCGATTGATCGGGCATTCGTTACAGGATTTCATGCCCGGGATTAATTTCGCAAGGAATTACACGCAAGAACGAAGCCGAATTGGTCTGTCGAAGATTGTCAGTTCGATCCCTCTTCTCTCTATTTTCTCTCTTTCTCTTTCTGTCTCTCTGTCTCTCTGTGCAGCATTTTTGGAACAGAAATTCGCGCGTATATAGTAAAGCTGTAGCTTTGACGTAGATCGTGTAATGACAGATTCACGCTTGAGTGAAAGGAAACGGGACAAGGTTTCAACGTTTTAAGCGCTCGTTACCACGTAGGTTACGAGTCTCTGCATTTCAAAAGTTTAACTTGCCACGCACGTCGAGAATCTTTTGCCCCAGATTGCAACATTTTCTCAGTTTTTAAGTACATTTAAATGTAACAAATGATAAGTTTATTACTTTTTAATAATTTCTAGCCAGCGATATCGTACCGACGAGTTCAAAAGAAAAAGAAAGCGACGAATTATTGTATACGGCTCGGTCACTCGTTACGGTCCGTGAACCAGCTGTCAGCACAATGGATTAAAGACGTGCAGAGTTTATTGTTAAAATCGTGAATTGAACGATTTAGGAATATATATTGTTCATGATACAATAAACGTAACATAGTAACATTATACATTTATTATTATAATATAATACAATATAATAAGAATAAATAATAATAACGTCAGCGCAATGGATTAAAGACGTGCAGAGGTTATTGTTAAATCGTGAATTGAACGATTCAGGAATATATATTGTACTAATATAAACGTAATAATATAATAACATTATACATTTATTATTATAATATAATACAATATAATAAAAATAAATAATAATAACGTAATAATACAATAATATATAATGTATAATATAATAAAATAAAATAATGTAATAATGTCATATAGCAGTACAACAACATAAGATAATGTAATTTAACATTCAGATTCGATTCATAATCAAAGAAAAATTCTATCGTTAAAGTGAAATGAAATGTGAAAACACAATTTCCAACTCGTCCATTTTTGACGTACGCACGTTGTAATAGAAATATGGAAGATACACACAAAATACTATTATAAAGGAAACTGCAAGATCTCGTCAACAATGAGAATTGTTCTTTTAAAACATTTCCTTACACCAAACTCTCAGAAACAGAACGGCACGACGTTCTCCGACCACGCGTCGAGCGAGCGAAAGACGCTCCACGGAGATCGGACATTTTCTTGATTAAACCACGAGATGCAAACTCTCGGCCCGATCGGCTAGAACGATCGGGTGGAACCGAGTAGAACGAAGTCGGCGAAGCAAAATGGAAGAAAAAAAAAAAAAAAAAAAAAAAAAACGAGGCAGGCGGAGGAGGTCGAGAGCTCGTCGATCTTCGAGCGGGCCCAGTGGGAGGAATTATTCATGAATTTAAATCGAAGCGTTGCACGGTACATTGATTGCACCCTTTCGACTCTGCGCGCGGCTAGAGCCACCGCCTACGCGAGTCTGTCGGCTGCCCTATCAATAATTGCGCCGGGCAAATGTGCCGAAAGCGGTATTTCGCGCGATTTAACTCGACCGTCGCCCCGGCCGCGACGATCTCGACGTCGATAATAAATCGCCGGCAGCCGAGCTGGAACTTGAAAAACGCGCGAGACCAACTCTTCCCGCCGTCTCTCTTTCTCTTACTCGTACTAGTGCCCGAACGAGTTTCAAACCGTCCTCCGGCTTCACGATGTTTCAATTTCGGCCCTCCACGTGAATTTCGTTATTTTATTTGCTCCTAGACTCCTAGCGGATCGGATCTCGCCTCTTCCTCGCTGCGGACTACGGTGTTCCACGGCCAGGTTGTCGAAAGATTGTCGCAAGTTCGCTGATCTATTTGTCGAAATGAAATTCTTCCGGCTTCGATTCACGTCGATCCTCCTCGAGGGGAGGGAATGTTGGACACGATGAACGTTATTACGGCAAGGAGAGCTTCTCGATATCGAGGACATGAAATGTATCCTCGAGATTGGATCGACGATCCGATTTGTTTTTATTAGTTTCCCTTGCAACTCGAACGTTTAATTTAAAATAACTGTTGTAAATGTATTATTTTTTTTTTTTTTTTTTTGGTTAGTTTATACCCGATTGTTTTGTTCTTCAGTTAAAAACGGTACGAGAGAGTTTCTTGTTTATTTTAATTTCATTTCGAAGGAGAGCGAGAATGAATCTCGTATAAATTCGTATTTTCAGAATCGAACTTTCACCCACCTGAACCAACAGAATTGAAAATTTCGAACTAATTGTCTATATAAGATTGATCAGTGAAGTCATACGCTCCCGGAATCCAATTTACACCGCGATAAATGAATCAGACGATGTTTCACAAATGATTATTTACATAAAACCATTCCTCTCTTTTTCTCTCTCTCTCTCTCTCTCTCTCTCTCTCTCTCTCTCTCTCTCTCTCTGCCCCCTCCGAAAATTCACTCAATCGCGCAAAGAACACCAGACACGAACACCACACCGGCTCTTATCTTCCCCCTTGTCTCGATCCTTCAGATTCTCCGGTTTCACTTCTCCTCCAGGAGGAGGAAGTCGAATTCAATCCTCCTTGGGAGATTCGACGCTTACTTTTTCCATCGATCGGATACATCGCCGGGGAATTAAACCCGAGGAGTAAGCAGGGTTGGGTTTAAAGTCATCGCGATCGAAACGGCGGCCCCCATTAGGCGGAGCTGCAGGTGAAAGGCGTTTAGCCGAGGGTGGAAATCGGCAGATATCGCGGAATACAATCTGGTAAAAGCCGAGTGACCACCGCGTACCGGGGTCTTAAGGGATGCTCCGGCCGGATTTATGGTGCCTTAAATCCCGGCGAACGTCCTCCCCTCTCCATCGTCCATCAGGCTATTCTTCTTTTTCGGGGGTGGCCGCGTTCGTCGGGACGTAATGCGATCTTCGAGTCTTTCCACGAGGAAAGCGCCGCCATTGCTGAAGATGGTCTTGAAGGAAATTTTGAGGGGGGTCACACTTGACTTTGTAACTCTGTCTTTTCCGCAACAGAAGGATTTTAAACGGACACGGATTTGGAAGATCGAAAGACGTCTTCCATATCGGTCTTATCGTAGAGATGCTCCCGTTAGGAGCACGTTCGTCGACTCTTTTATTCCTTTGAGGAGGGATTATCATGACGAGAGAAAAATATTGAACGATACACATTGGTAAAAATTTGGTTCTCGAAGGGAATTTTGACCTGGAGGAGTAACATAATTTCATAATTTAATTTGTTACGTGATACGTGATGACTTGATTTATTCGTTAATTAAATTTAATTTATCTTTTTTTTTTACGGTGGAATTTTGCTTAGATATTTGTTATTTTCAATTCTTTCGGTAGCCCGTGAAATATTTTTTCAGAAGAAAGAATTCTCTATCATCTACGTGTCACAATCGATCATTTGTATCTCGACAAATTTATTCAAGGATCGTTCGAACTACACACGAAACAGAGTTCGACCATGATCATCGTGATTTCTGAAGAATCAACTCTTTCCAATCAAATCATGCCAGTGTGAAAAACGAAGTTACGGAGAGAAAATTAAGGAACACGGTAGCTTAACGTATTCTAAAAAGTAACGGCAATGCATACACAACGAGTAAGGCGGGCACGTCGATCGATAGCCGCATGTGAGTCTCATTCGAGACACGTGCGTCGCCTGAAAAATTTACGTCCCTATCGACGAGAGATTCAGTGGCTCGGCTCAATGGCGTATCGAAAGGATTCATCGAACGATTAACAAGTTTTTCAACCGTCTGAAACCCCTTTGTACACGCTTCCTTCACTCTCGGCCGAGTAACTTTCCTCCCTTTTTTCCTTTCTTCCCTCTGCAGACTAGACTCGCAGCTTGGAAACTAGATATGAAATCTTCGATATTAACCTTCGTGAAAATATGATTCATAATCTAATTCCTCGAGCATTTGCGCTGGATCATTTATCATCAAAGGTTCATTTATATTCCCGTTCCTTAAACGCGATTACTACAT